TCTCCATGCGAAGTATTGGGGAATTTCTATACGAATTTGTCCGGGCAGTCGGCGCATAGAACAGAAAGTCATAGCGCAGCCGACGAGGGGGAACATGCAGATCAATGCGTGAAAGAAGATAGAAAGAATCACAGTAACCTCTGACCAACCTGAACAGAAAGCAGGCATCACTGCAAGTTCTGCGCTGCTGAAGTGTGGGCATATGATACATTTGACAGGCAGATTCGTAATCTGTATAAGGATGCCGGAATTTATGCGAGAGATACTTCAGAAACCTTATCTGAATCCTCTCTATTCTGTTAATGTATGCGTCGTACTGAGGGTTCCAAGCTGTACTGCCGAACGATAAAATACTATTAACGAAAGCATTGTATAAAGAAATAATAGGTCTAGAGCAGCAAAACCTAAAAACTAAAAAACTATTAGCTCTGACCACCACTGCGTCAACGTGTTGATCAAACAGTAGTTTGTTATCTAAAGTAATGCCCAAGTCTTTAATAAGTGATGTTAAGCAATTAGTAATGTTAAGTGACAAATTATTAATCTCACAAAAATCATAAAATCTGTTCAGGTCATTCTTAAGGTTAACACAGTCTGAAACAGCAGCAATAGGAGAAAATATTTTAATGTCGTCAGCATACATAAGACATCTTGAGGTAAGAAAAGACCTGGTGATGTCACCTTTGTACATACACCGTAAATAAGAGCGGGCAAAGATGGCACTCCGGAAGACATAATAACAGGACCGGACGAATATCCATCAACCCCAACCACCTGCGTGCGATTGGAGAGGTACGAAGCAAACCAGCTCAAAAGGACAACTGCGACATCAACACGCTCCAACTTCAACAGTGATCCACTTTGTCAAAAGCTTTGCTAAAGTCAGTGTATATCGCATCTACTTGGATGTTTTTATAAAGAAAGTCGGTATATTCTAACAAGTTGGTGTTAGAATATACAGATCGCCCTGGATAAAAACCGTGTTGCTCCACACCCACACAGAACTTCATTTCAAAAAATAGCCTGCTGTAAACCAATTTTTCAAGATTTTTCCCATTATTGCTAAAATAGATATAGGACGGTAATTAGTTACAAGACTACGATCTCCTGTTTCCACACAGATGAAAAAACACCGTAACGTAGCGACATACAAAATTTAAAACAATTTAGCACTTTTGCAATGGAAAATCCTTTATTATTTAGCTTTTACCGGTTTCGCCCTAAGGGCATCTTCAGAAAGCCACCTATTGTATAAAATAACCATGCCAATCTTTTTTTTTTTTTATTTATTTAGCATGGACTACAATAACATTTTTCGGGGACAGCACCCACACTCGCAAAGATCCCAACAACGAAAACGAAACGATAACCGAAGAAATCCCCCGCTTACTAATAAAATCATTTTACCCATGGAACGCAATGTCCGGAATGAAATACTATATCTCCTTATCCTACCAAGTCTACTACGTTTTATTCTCGATGCTTCACTCCAACCTCCTCGACGTCCTATTCTGCTGTTGGTTAATATTCGCGTGCGAACAACTCCAACACTTAAAAGAAATCATGAAACCCCTGATGGAACTCTCCGCCACCTTGGATACTTACGTCCCGAAGAGCGCCGATTTGTTCCGCGCGCCGAGCGTTAATTCTCAGGATAATTTAATTGATAACGACGCCTTGGATTATAACAATATGAAGAATGACGAGCTAAATTTGAAAGGGATTTATAGTACTCATCAGGAGATGGGGATTAATTACCGTGGGGGTAATTTGCAACAATTCGATAGTGGTGGTGGGGGAATTGGACCAAATGGGTTAACTAAAAAGCAGGAGTTGTTGGTTCGATCTGCGATTAAGTATTGGGTTGAACGACATAAACACGTCGTTAGGTAAATTTAATTTTTTTAATTTTAATCAAGTCATTAATTGATTTATTTTTTTAGATTGGTAACTGCAATTGGAGATGCGTACGGAATCGCGCTTCTCCTTCACATGTTGACAGCTACTATCACTTTGACTTTGTTGGCTTATCAAGCCACTAAGGTAATTTTTTTTGATCATTTATGTCTAAGTCTAAATGATTTTTTTTTTAATTTTAGATTGATAGTGTTTCAAAGTATGCCTTAACCGTTTTGGGGTACTTATTTTACGCCTTGGCCCAAGTTTTTCTATTTTGTATCTTTGGAAACCGGTTAATTGAGGAGAGCTCCTCAGTTATGGAGGCGGCGTATAGCTGTCATTGGTACGATGGATCTGAGGAGGCAAAAACTTTCGTGCAAATCGTTTGCCAACAGTGTCAAAAGGCCATGTCGATTTCCGGGGCGAAATTCTTCACGATTTCGTTGGATTTATTCGCTTCGGTAACAACCTTAATCAATTTAATCAATTTTTTTTGATAATAATTCGTTTTCGGTTGTTTTAGGTGTTAGGAGCGACCGTTACCTACTTCATGGTGTTGGTGCAACTCAAATAAATCATTAATGGTAAGCGACAAAAATTAATTAATACAAAAAAAGGGATTTTTGTCTCTTAAATTGGTTTTGAGAGCATTCAATTGTGTCTTATTAGAGTTAATTTAAAAACAATTTAAATTTGCCACTTAACACAGTACCTGATTCAAACAAAGATAACCTCTTAAATTTTTAAATAAAAAAAATAAATAAATTAATAAAATATTAAAAAGAATTAATATTAATTATAAGATGAAAAAATTGCACTAATTTGAATGGAAATCACGAAAAATAGTTAATTTAATATTAATTATATCAATTTTAATGAAATAAGTTAACCGTTAATTATTTAAAGTACAAAAAAAAGTTAGGCAA